CCTCCCTCCCTCCCAGACTGCTTCCCTAAAATATAACCTTATTATGCACTAAACCACTTGTTGCTGCCTACATAACTGCAGACTCAGCAAATCAGAGAAGAGGGCCTGGTGCTTTTATACTCTGTTCATCAGCAGATTCTCATTGTTCATGGGACTGCAGGGGTTCAAACATGTTCCTTGTTTTTCATCTGTTGGTCAACATTGAACTGTCCATCTCAAAAATGACTTATTTGAGAACAGATTATGCAAGAGTGTAGATAATCTTTATTTAAAGAAAGAAAAAAAAAGAAACTAATATAAAATTTAATTTAAAATATCATATAAATAAATATATTATATAATAAGTACAACTAATATTTCCAAAATAAAAACTTAATATTTACTTTCTTAATTAAACTGTACTGCAGCTTAATAGGAATAAATGATACAACAATAATGCAGTGGTACTAATAGACAAAAATAAATAAACAAAAACAATGATCCAAAACATACTGGTATAGTATGATTAAATAAAATAAAATACAATTCTAGCATCACTGTTTTATATAATCAAAAAATCATTTGCAGTTTTCTTTACTTGTCAATCATCAGTTAGCTGTTCTCACCACCAGGGGGCGCTGTTCACTGTCAACTGTGATAGACCATGTCCTCATTTAGCATTAAACAACTTATGGTGAACTTAAAAATCTGGATCAACAAAACAAATTTTGATAGAATATAGATAGAAGTATTTTTCAGTGGAAAAACAGTCAAAACAAAATGATAACTGTATTGATCGACTGATTAGAAGGAAAAGAAGTGTTGAAGTGATCAACAGATTCAATCAGCCTTTAGTTACTCACGTCTGATTTTCTGTTTTTTTCATAACCTCATGATTATCTAGTCACAAAGGTGGAATTGTCTCCATTATGAGAAATGCTGCAGCTTTACAGCTCTGTTGTTTCAGCTCAGGTTATCTCATCTAAATTAATATGATTTTTTCTTTCTTTCTTTCATAGATTAGGTTATTTGCACGCAAGTAAGGAATGCGCTACAAACAAGTTTGCTCACGTTCAGATGAAAACAAGATGAATTGCACATACAGTATAGTGCCAATTTATGCCAAGCTTCACCCAGTGAGTGCACAATTCAAAATGTCTTCATGATCATCAAGTTTGACATGAGAACGAGGTAAATCAAACTAACATCAACACTTTTGCAACGGCTGCAGTTCAGAAAACAAAAGACAGATAATTTCAGGTATTTCATAATAATTTGGGCGTCTTCTACAGAACATATCCTCACTCGTTAGTTGACAGACACCTGTTTGTGTATCTGTCTCCTAGGGCCCTACCTGGATCACCTCATGTGACGTTTTAGATCAGGTTTTCCTAGAATGCCTTAAGACAGTGAGAGGCATGTCCTAGAATTGTGATCTGTATAATTATTGTAAATACCAGACAGTAAGGTGGTGTTACTGTTGTTACAGTTTAAACTGGAGGTGACTGGATACAAACAAAAACATGTGTACACCAGTGTCGGGTTAACTCAATCACGGGTGGTGCTGCTTTCGAATTTACAGCCAGAGAAGTTTGTTTCCTCATAATTAACCTACATTCCTCCAAGGTGTGGCTTTATATAGGGATTCATGTTGTGTTAAACATACATCATATGTATTCAATGTAAGAACAAGTACTTTATTTATAGTCCTTCTCCTGTCAGAAATATGTTTTTCTTGTTGTTCCTACAGTTGGATGTTTGAGCTTCACTGTGCAGAATGATGTATGCGCAGAGTTTGACACTAGCAGGATGTTTTCACATTCATCTGCTGAAAGTGGAAAGTTTCTGATTTTAAGTGGCGGGGCCTACGAGCATGAGTTGTGACATCACAAATAGTTAGGAAGCCAATCCTGGTCCAGTATGTAATTTATTCAAGCGTGATATAGAAACCTGAAACCACCAGTACACAAACACTGAGAATAGACTTCACAGTAAAGCAGGAGACTTTGCATATTCATAGAAATTTTAATAAGGTAGAAGGAGTAGAAGCATTTTCAAGGATTTTAATGTGCAAATTATACTTTATTTGCATAAAAAAACACATCAGACACACATTATTGTTTCAAGCAGATTATTTGTATATGTGTCCTAAAACATGTCTAGAAGGGATCTTTTAGTAAAGTTTTGAGGTACTCTTGAGTCCTCTCATTTTATGCTACTTTATTTCTACTAAACTACATTTGAGAGGCAAATGTTGTACCTTTTACTACATGTTTCTACACTGATCATTGATCAGCTTATAAAATATGATGTATTATTATAGAGTAACTTCCCAACAGTTTTAGTTAAGTAAATAATCTTCCACCACTGAGGTCCAACATTTGTTTTAGCCAGAATTACGCTGCCATTGTATTCTTAAAGGCCTACTGACTCCTGCATAACCTGTTTGCATGGAACACGTTTGACATAAATAAATGTATGATAATAATCATGTATTTGTATGTAACATGTGGGACTGGTTCATAGAATTGGTTACTCACACTGTATGCTGCTTGTGCCAAATACAATATTTAATAATAATAAAAAGATGTTTACAATAGCCAGTAAACTTCTATCTATATACGCATGATTCGAACTGGCATCCTGTATATAACTTTTGTTATTACATCGATTCATTTGCTGTACACTTAACACTTCAGTGCTCATTGTTCATTCGTCAGAAAGAGTTCCTTGGGAGCCTTAAGAACCAGGGCAGGCAGCAGTATTACTTTTGACCTTCTTTTAAACCTGTATGGAACATTTACAGCCATCAATTAGTGTGACAATTTAATGAACAGTAAAAATATAATTTTATCTAAAATCAAAGTTGGTCACATGCTGATTTACAGGCAAAAGTAAGGCTGTTAAATGCTAATAATCTCCTGCCTCATGCCTTTCGTACAATTAAAGCATAGCTGTTTTTTTATATGATCGTAACCAGTTATTATGTTATTTTAGTTGTATACCTGAAAAATTCCTAATCTCACTGAGAAAATGTAAAACAGTGACGATTTGCAGATATGTTGAACATTTGTCATGTTCAAGTAAATCAGAACATTTCCCAAATATGTCCAGTATAAGAATTGTATATAAAATGTAATCCAGGCAACATGTTATGTTTCTCCTACGACACACACTATTGAGCAAACAAAACGTAATTGTGCAAGGTGGTAGTCTTTCTAAGAAAAGGTTCGGCAATTCAGAGTAGAGCAAAACCTGTTATGGCTTGGCCAGTTTCTCCCCTCTGGTTACATCCCTGCTCTCCAGTCTGTGAAAGTCTTTAATGTAATGTTTTAAGGTGGAACTGTCA